TGCTAGTTCAGGTTGATGAATGAGAAGCAACTTCGAGGTAAAGGGATTCCTTTCATGGGAGTAGTTTGAGAGGACCAACTAGAGGAAGTTGGATTTGGGAGATTGGGATGCGAGAGTCGTATCCAGAGTTTTTGAATCAGGTAACATTTTCGAGGACGAAAATTTCTAAAGTGGGGGAGGGTTGTAACAGCCCAAATTTTCAGTAATTGATTAATTGTACTAATTAATTGGTTTATGTGATTTATCTGATTTAAATGAATTATTGGATTTATTTAATTGTATGAGTTAATGGATTTAACTGATTTATTCTATTTGGTAGAATAATATGGATTTACTAGATATTCTCTAATTAATGATAAGATGAGATATTTTGGTGAGAAAAGGAATTGATAGATATTTTTGAGAGATGAGATATATTGAGGAGAAATAAAAGAGAAGGATATATAAAAGAAAGAAGAGAGAAAAGAAAAGGGATAGAAAGAAAAGAAGGAAAAGGAGAGAAAGAAAAAGGAAGAGGGGAAAATAGAAGGAAAAAGGGAAAAGCTTGGAAGTCATCAAGAACGACTTCTAGCTTCCGATTAATCGAGGTAAGGGTGTGAAATGTTGTTATTCTATCAATGTTTATGATTATGTATGATTGCATTTAGATTGTTGGATGTTTTTCTATATTTTTCATTTTAGGTCGAAATGGATTAATCGGTAAAATCGATGTTTGAACGGTTAGAATCTGAAATAAACAGTGTAGTTTAGTCGGGTAATGTTGGGTTAAGATTACTGGAGTTGATTGGAATTGAATCGGTTGATTTTGGGAGGATTAGATGATTTTGGACAGTTAGGGATTTCTGGGTTCACAGGTTCTCCCGGCGAAGCTCAGCGAGTGGGTAGCGAACAAAGTCAGTAGCCAAGTTAGTCTTCGCTGGCGTGTTCGCCAGGCGAAGGTTTACCAGGCGAAGGTTCGCCAGGAGAGTGAACTAGCGAGTGTTAGCGAACACATTCCAGTAGCTACTGACTGTCTTCGCCAGCGAGTTCGCCAGGCGAATAAGGTAGCGAGCATTCGCCAGATGCCTCACCAGGCGAAGGGCAACAAATGTGACAACATTTTTCATTTCCTGTGTTTTCCCATCCAATGTTGATTTTTTGATTCGATTATGTTTAATCCTTATCTGAAATGAATAGTCGTGTACTATTGTGATGGAATATGCTGTGGGTAGCCGTATGGCGTGAATCCTAGATTATGAAATGTGGTCTTTTGACAAATATAATGCATTGTTTGAATTGATTAAAATGCATGATGAATGTTGTTGAATTCGCTGCCGTTGGCACTGTGTTGTGAATAATGCATGAGAACATAATGTGAATATGTGTGCATTACTTGATAAATATGGTGATGATATTGAATTGTGAATGCATATTGTTTGTATGCAATTGTATGTGAAGAATGCATGAGAACATATTGTGAATATGTGTGCATTGCTTGAAATGTGATGATGATATTGAATTATGAATGCATATTGTTTGTATGCGATGTTGTGGAGGATGCATGAGAACATATTGTTTGAAATGTGGTGATGATATTGAATTATGTGTGCATATTGATTGTATGAAATATTGTGAAGAATGCATGAGAACATATTGTGAATATGTGTGCATTGCTTGATGAATATGATGTTATTGAATATGAATATGTTGTGTGTGCAATCATGTTATAATTCTTGAGTGATAAATTATTTGAATGCATGAGATTAAGATGCGAGAACGGTCTTAAGTGCATTTGGATGTTGATTGCATATGTATCATTTAGTCAAGAGGCAATGCTTGCTAGTTTCGTGGAGACTAGTGACTTGTCCCAAGCCTAGAAGAGTGGATTTGAAAGCTTAGAGGACAGACTTTTGTTGTTATCGGTCTAGAAGAGTGGACCCGGTGTAAGTGTAAAAACCGAAAAATGATAACAAATGTTGGTACCACATGGCATGAGTTGCATTGAGTCTCATGGAATGAATATATGATTGTTGTATGAAGTTATGCATATGTACATGACTTGTGTAATAGAGAATTATGGATATGTTTGATGATTGTCCATATTTGCACACATATATATATATATATATATATATATATATATGTGTGTGTGTGTGTGTGTGTGTGTGTGTGTGTGTGTGTGTGTGTGTGTGTGTGTGTGTGTGTGTGTGTGTGTGTGTGTGTGTATGTAAGCTTTGTGAAGTATATGATGAAGTATGGTGAGAATTGTGGAATATGCGTATGTGAATTACTTGTGTAATTGAGAGTTGTAAATATGTGATTGTTGTATGAAAGTATGCTTATGAGCATGAATTGTTGATTTGAGAATTGTGAATGGGTAATTGTGAATTGGAGAGTAAACATAATATGTGTATGTTTATGTGAGATGTTGAGATTTATGAATATGCTTGGTGATTATCTTTATTCGTTTATATATATATATGTTGTGACGTACATGATGAGTTATAATGAATTGTGGTGAGAAAATGTGGAATATATGTATTCTGTACCTGTGCATTTATATATGACTATACACATTGTTATTATGATAATATTTCTCACCCTTTTGCTGGAATGATGTCCTACATGACATCGTGCAGGTATCAAGGTGTAGAACTGCTTGTAGTTGCGAGGTTGCTATCGGTGTAGCCGCTTAGTAATTTAATTATGTTGGGTCGAGTCATGCTTTGGTCATGTAACACTGAGATCGCTTGGGTTATGTTTCAGATATATGTTATGTACTCTATAATAGGTGTTTATATTCATCGGAATATTATGATGTTGGCCTCAGTGCCTAAGTGATGTTGTTTTATGTGATAAACACAAATGTTTCCTTTATGAAAGTTGTAAATAAATGCATTCGCTGCTACATGCAAAGTGAAACTTGGAAAAGTATAACTATTTATTGAGGTGTTATGAGTATGACAGGTGTTTTTGATGTTTTGAAAGTTATGTGTGACACCCTTTTGTAAATGCATGAAAATTTACTCTGATTATTCATATATTTTTCGTGGGGTTTAGAAGGGTGTTACACATATACTTATACGACTTTCTCAATCATTTATTGACTTGGGTATTGGAGTGCTAAATTTGCAGGTCCACCACTACTTATCTGTATTAGAAGCTTACTCCACCATATTGGAACTCCGTTATATTCGATCTCTACCAATTTCTGGTTCCAGTTTAAAACATTATCAGTTTTTTTGTAATGATATGTATTCAAGTTGAAAAAGTTAAATATATCACAAATCATAAACCAAGAAAGTCAACAACAAACAAACTCAATGACGAAGTCCAAAAACATAGTATCCAAGATTTTCACTTAAATTCTCAAATATGACACAACACGATAATCTACCTTTGAGGTTATCAATGCAAACTGTTTTGAACAGGTCAAATGCCCAAATGTCTAAGGCCCAATCCATTCCAAATCCACTACACTTAACCCAAGATATAAAAAACCAACACACACGCAAAAACCAAGGTACATACTCTGATATATTCTTTTCACGATACTCATGTTGAATCTTGATCTAACTTGAGCGTTTAAGTGCTAACCATGCATGTCTTCTATGCGCCGTCGTGACGAAGATCGACACCACCGTTTCAATATTATATGTTCTTCAACTACATCCATTTCTACTTCCTGAACAAAACACAAACTAACACATCCATTAATCAGGTTGCTAGCACCGCCATGCTTACACAACTCCAAATTTTATGGATCATATTAAAATTGAAAAAATGCCACACCACCTATATCAGAACTAGAAGTGGTAAAAAAACCCAAACGTATCCACTAATGATCTCAAAGACCACCTTAGTAGATAGAAACTACATGCAACATATTATAGTCCATCCTCAATGTAAATAAAAGACTCACCTAGAGTATGATCACATAATCAATTCGCCTAGCTACTTACTATTTGTATACATTTCATCTTACTTTGACATCATAGTATAATTACAAACGCATTTCTATTGAAAAAATCTCAAGTCTCACATTGATTACAATGGAACTTATAAAGAATTTATATAGTGCCACTCTTCACTTTTCAAACCGATCTTATAAGAATGAATTTGACTAAACTCTAATTTTAATAACTCGTCACTCAGGGGAAGATCATACTACAAGCAGACAATGAGAGACAAAAGTATGTTTGGATTCACTTTTGAGAGAGACAAAAGTAATTCTAGAAGTGAAAAATTAGTTTTAGATTCACTTTTGAGAGAGACAAAAGTAATTGTAGAAGCGTAAAATTAATTTTGATATATTTGATTTCTCTAAAGTAGAATTTATTTTCCATTTAAAATTGATTCTTTTTAAAGTTAGAACTTATATCTTTTAAATTTAAACGTAAATTTAACCTTTAAATTTACTTCTGGATAAATTTATCCAAATACAAATAACTTTTTCTTCTACTTATTTTAGTGAAAATCATTTCTACTTAATCAAATCACTCAAAATTTATTTTCATCACGGCAGTGCCAAACACACACTACTCTATAAGCTCTTACTAGATCTGTTTATGCCTTAGTCCATATGTCTATCTAACGTGAAACTTCCAATACACATGTATATGTGGTTGCCTTTCAACTAAATTATCAGCCATAGAAAGAAATAAATCATGCATTAGTCACCTTATTCTTGCAGCCACAACTACCAAACGTGGAAGTTAATTCACTTGACGTAGTAAGAAAAACATGGATGAGAAAAAAGCACACCTATATATCACACTATATCACATTTAAATTTTCAAAAAGCTAGTATATATCGCATTCACTTCATTAACTCTTCTTGAGAAATCTAGCAATTAAGTTCACGATCATTGAAAACTGACTTTTGCATTTCTAACATCCACACATTCTCACATTCATACAAACACATGATAACTATTATAAATAACATTGTTCTCATACCCTAATTTGTTCATCAATAATATTTCAACTCAAGTTATTCCAATTCTCTTAGAAATATACATATGGCACCTCATGGAGATTCATTACCTAGCTCATTCTCTAGAACCAACAACATAGTATGCTCCAAACCACCAAAACCTAATTCATCCGATCACAACAACAATAACAACAACATTCAAAGAACAATCTCCGACATATCTTTCGCGTTATCAAAAGAAGACTTTGATTTAACACTTCCACCGATAACCGAAGTTGAAGATGCAAAGTGCGAGTGCTGTGGCATGTCGGAAGAGTGTACGCCCGAGTACATTAAACGCATACGCGATAAATACTTAGGAAAATGGGTTTGTGGTTTGTGTTCTGAGGCAGTGAAGGAAGAGTTGGAGAAAAATGGAGGGAAGAAAGATGAAGCTTTGAGTGAACACATGAATGCATGTGTAAGGTTTAACAAATATGGAAGGACTTTTCCTGTTTTGTCTCAAGCTGAAGCCATGAAAGAGATGCTGAAAAAGAGTAAAATGGAAGGTAGAAGGGCTAAGTCATTCAACCCTAGAGAGAAAGGTGGTGGTGGTGGTGAAAAGAAAAGTGGACTTGCTAGAAGTTCAAGTTGCATTCCAGCTATCACAAGAGATATCAAAGATTTCAAAATTTCAAGTTAAACTTAACTTACAAGTTACTATAACAACTTCTTATAACAACTTCTTATTTTACACGTCAGATAACCTAACTTACGCGCATGTTTAGATTGACAGTGATTTTGACAAAACTTCATCATGTCACAATAAATTCAATAAAAATCACGTATAGATTGTAACTTTGTCAAAATCACTGTCGTTCCAAAAATGCAGTAAGTCTTTTAATTATGTGTTAATTAACTTGTATGGTTTGTTGTGTCTTTATATTTAATATTGTTCATTTTTTTTCTACTGACTAGTGGCTACAACTCAGAATCATCGGAGGGTTTCAAGATAACATAACCCTAAAGTTGTTACCTTTTGATGATCAGAAGTTTTTTTAGGTCCCTCTCCCTATCACTATCAAGGAAGTTGATCCGTGTGAGATCTTCTTTGTCTTTCTTTTTAATGGAGAGGGTAATTCTTTGTATTTAGTCAGTGGCTTTTTCAATGTATTTTAGGTGTTTCTAATCTTATAACAGAAATAAAATTTGTTTCTTACATTGATATACTGTTTTAATTGAATGCCTTTGTCCCACTCATATATATAATAATAATAATAATAATAATAGTAATAATTATAAATAAGTAATAAATATTTGATTCCGTCCATTTATATTATTTTATTTATACTACATGATAATGAAAAATATATTAATTAATTTTTAATTGAATTAATTAAAAAATAATAATATTTAACGTTAAATAATTGGTTTTTTAGATAGTTTCAGCAAGCCTCATCTTTTAAATTTAAAGAATCAATGTTGCCACGTTATAATACTCCAATAGTAAAGATTAAGTAACAGAACTTAAGGATTAAGATCGGATATGCTCTTAGTTGTGATATTTTTCAAGAGCTTTCGTGGCAATTCTCCCGCCTGTGTTATTTTAGTTTCTTATACCCCCATATAAGCTTCTTTTTATTTTCTATTTATATATTTTCTGTTTGTTTTAAAAAAACAAATACATATGATTTCGTAATATATGTTTTTATTAAAAACAATCAAATTAAAATGAATTACTAGTATAAATGACTAATATATAAGTAAGGTGGTTGAGACAATGATGTATACAAAAATGTTATTGATTTTATCGGATCAGAAAAGGATCAGCTACCAACAACACGTCGTTAACTCCTTAATTTATCAGTGATAGAGAAGAGGAGAGGGCGTACCTGTAAGACACTCCGATGCTAAAGTCAGTTTCACCAAGAGGGAGAAGACAAGTACAGAAAAAAGGTGAGAGAATAGAATACGTGACCCTCTAGTGAAATATGATATTTATAATGTGCCCCCAGCACTGGGGCAACGATTACTTTGCATTGGGTTGGATCGCTAGACCCAACACGAGTAACTGCCAGGGTCTACGTGGCGTAGGGAAGACCAGCACGTGGTCTTTGCCCTAGGTCAACTGCCCTGTGATCTTCAGAATATGAGTAGTTGTCTGATGACGTTTCCCCGCGTGGAGGACACGTGAAGTCCGTGGAGGAGACGTGTGAGCGCTCCCTGTATGATGAACTGGACCCTCGTTGGGCCCTCAACGACGAAAAGATAGATTGGGCCGTGCCCGACAGTGGGGCAACCTCTGACCCAGTCCAGAACAGGAGCCTCCCAAGTCGTTGCTTCGAAGCAGAGGAGTAATGATTTAAAAGTCAGTTCTAGCATCGAGGACCTGCCTAGAGGAGCATCGTGTGCGTTCGAAACACTGAGCTCAGAGGATGAAGCGTGTGGCCAGGAGTAGGAGCTGCTCGACACGACAAGAGCTCGCGGAGGGACCTGTTCGTCGGATGTAGTCCTGACTTTTTTCCTGCTTCTCCCGGGGAAGCATTTCCGACAGCGTAGAGTCGGGCAATGCGACCGAGGATGTGACGAAAGCGGAAGGGAACGAGGACGTCTAGTCTCGAGCAGGAGAGTGATTTGAAAGGACACGCGTGGTGTCTTATAGGACCACGTGTCAAGAGTAATAAATGCCTAGGACGGCTACGAGTAAGGGTACTTGAGTGTCTAGGTATGCCTCGCTTCCCGTGCTAGGGTTTATAAATAGGCACTACTACAAAAAAGCTATTTAATAGCGGTTTTTTTTTTTGCTTTTTGATAACGCTTAGAAGCGCTATTAACCAAGCTGCTATTGTAAAACAAAATTTTTGATAACGCTTTAAAAGCGCTATTATAATACTGGTAATTAATAGCGTTTTTCCAAAAGCGCTATTATAGTACCGATATTTAATAGCATTTTTCCAAAAATGCTATTATAAGACACATATTAGATAACACTTTCAAACAAAGGGCTATTATAGTACCGGTAATTTGCTTTGATTTTGATAGCACTTTCAAACAAAGCGCTATTATAAGACACATATTAGATAACACTTTTCCATAAAAGTGCTATTATAGTACATATCATTAATAACACTCTCTCTTCAAAACACTATTGTAGTACACTTTTTTTTTACACAAAATCATTCTTTTGGTGTGTGTGTGTGTGTATATATATATATATATATATATATATATATATATATATATATATATATATATATATATATATATATATATATATATATATATATATATATATATATATATATATATATATATATATATATATATATATATATATATATATATATATATATATATATATATATATATATATATATATATATATATATATATATATATATATATATATATATATATATATATATATATATATATATATATATATATATATATATATATATATATATATGGCATTTGCATTTTACGACATTAGAATTCATAAAATAATAACGACTAAGCAGCTAAAATATTTGAAAATAAAATAATAATGACAAATGTGATATCATATTATATCTATACCACTGCCATAATAAACACATAAGGAATTGTATCTATGTATTAATTTGGCTAAGAGTACTTCAAACCAAAATATTTTATAAACACAGCTAAATTTTCAGACTGATCTACCTCTGCCTTCATTTCAGACTGTTGAATCATAAAATGTATTCAGAAGTAAATTTTCCATTAACCCACTAAATTATCAACCAAGACATACAAAACACCTTGAGACGACTGTTTGTGGCCTCGTATTCACTTAGCTTCTGTGATAGGAATATCAGTTTTGCTTTCTTCACAAACTCAGATAATTTCATCTTCGCTAGCACATAACTGGTGCCACAGAGCAACTCGATCAATATCTGGAAAGTTCGGCAACTCCTCACATCATACTCAAAAGAGGCCAAATATACTCCTCTTCCTCACAGACCAAAGTAACCAATATATCCAAATCAAAATCTACTCCGCTGCCATTATCAGTAGTGCTGATGACACAATCAACAAGCCTCTCTTCAGCATCCTCCCCCGGTAAGATTCATTAGCATACCATTTAAAGATTATCACATAAAGCAGTTTCACAAATTCTAGCACAAATAAGTCCCATGAGAGGGCCAAAGTTTCAGCAAGACCAAGAACTAATGTAATATCATCCTTTGAACTCCCAATTGTTCACAGCAAGACCAAGAACTAATGTAATATCCTCCTTTGAACTCCCAATTGCTCATATGCATCCTCCTATGTTGCACTATCTGAAAGATGTGTCAATATACATACATATATAAGTGCTACAATAATCAAAGGAAAACTGAAATACAAAAGTAATAGGACAATGAGAAACAAGTTACCGATACAGTTGAGCATAAACTCAATGAGAAACTAATATATCAACCATTGTCATAATCAGAATAAGAAAACGACATACCAGAGAGGAACTTGAAGACAATTCAACAAACAGCGACTAAAAATCTGCTTGGTAGCGTCATCATTATTTACAATCATCACATCCTCAGTGTCTCTGTCTCACTAGATCCCTTTTGCCACAGAATTTGATATGTTATATCACGTGTCACAAGGCATCACATTGTCATTAATGATTTCAATAAGGATCATATTGTCACTGAAGATTTCAGTAAGGATCATATTGTCATTGAAGATTTCAATAAAGACCACTAGTGAATTTATCAAATAAGCACTTGCATGACAGCAAGCTAAGACTATATTCAAACCAATCATAAAGAATTTGATGAAATCCATTGGTTGTACTCATCCATTTTTATTATGAAGGAGCTTGAACTTGCGGAACCTCCTATGTTGCACTTCCATATGAAATTGAGCCCGTTTGTGACGTGCTATTGGCTCGAGCTTTCAGGAACTGTCGAATCCGGAAAGCGTCGCGAGGAGGCGGTTGGCTTTGGAGAGATGTAGTATCATCATCTTCTTCTCCTAAACATTATAATAACAAATATCAGTCATGTTAAAATTGGAGTTTGATGTCAAAACACTAGAATAAGAAAAGCTAAAAGCATATTCTTGTAAATTTGATGAATTGTGTGATTCTGTCTACTCTAGAGAGCTTATAGAAATGGATTATGCCCATACTGTCTAATTCTTTTCTTTTCTCACAATGCTTGCTACCAGAAAGTTTACTTGTCCCATTTTTACCACTTTGTCCCATTGGAAGGTCGTTCTGCAAACAAATCGATAGCACGATATCCACATTTGGAGTTGGACCTGCATATTTCAAAACACAGTTATCGACAATGTTTAGATATACATCAAAAATAGAACATATGCTGTGTGATCGATGTGAAATTGTAGTTAACAGAAATATTGAAAATTACCATAAACTGTGGGTAGGTTTGCTACAAATGCAACCAAAGCAGGCGGTGTAGCTTTAAGAATTTCATCAAATGCAGTTGTGCTAGCAGCTGTACCCGGATTCTGCTTTGGATCATAAACCAACATCTTTGAAGTATCAGGATAGAAAATCTTTGATGACATAGTTGAAATGTTTGCAACAGATCCCTTATCTGCATTAATAGTGTATCATTAAATTAACCCTGTAATAAGAAATATCGAGAAACCAAGTGCGATAATAAGTATAATCTGTGTGAATCGTGAAGTCTATTCAACATGCATAATCATCGT